TTTCGCCTCTTTTCGCTTACATTTCGTTCATTCCATCAAAGTAGTCCTACAAAACAATACATAACGAATTACGTCCTTTTCGAGCTTTTTCTAACAACATTCAATCTAATTTGTGTCATAATTAAGTGTGTAAAACACACTTATCAGGCAGGATCAATAGATGATAGAAGGTCTACTACTGGTTACTGTACCTTCGTATGGGAAAACCTTGTAACTTGGAGAAGCAAGAAATAAAATGTAGTAGCTCAAAGTAGTGCTGAAACTAAATTTAGAGCTGTTACACAGGAAATATGTGAAGGGTTATGGTTAAAGATACATCTAGAAGAATTACATGTCACAATAAAGCCACCAATCAAACTTTATTGTGATAATAAAGCAGCGATCAACATTTCTATTAATCTGATTCGGCATGATCAAACTAAACATGTGGAGGTGGACAAGCACTTTATCAAAGTAAAGGTTGACAAAGGAATTATTTGCATGACTTATGTCCCTATGCAAGATCAAACTGCAGAAATCTTCACCAATGGACTACCTAAACAAAAATTCGATGATTTCATCTTCAAGTTGGGTAGGATAAATATTTACGATCCAACTTGAGGGGGAGTGTTGAAATTAGAGATAATCAACCAAGATATTATTATTAGAGATAATCAACCAAGATTGCAAATTATTATTTTCCTTAATTAGAATATTTAGAAAATTCTTGGATTATTGTAATCTTTAGATATGGTAGGAAATTTTTCTTTTCCTTTTATGCTCTCTACTCTTGTACTATAAGTAACGTGCATTGTACATGTGTTTAATTTTCTTCATATTTGGCACTAAAATAATGAAAGACTCATCTCCATATTTGAATGAACTGAGAATTGAATAACTTGTATTGCTATTTTTCTCTCATTCTTAAGCTCTACAAAACCTTTCCATCATTGAGTAAACCTTCCTGTCTGGGAAAGTCGCACACAGACTGATCCAAAACAAAGAGAAAGATATATGAATAAATAGCCTTATTTGCGAGATTTACAATTGTCTTGACTAGGATAAACTGATATTGCATCTGTTCAACTATTATGTGTTTGAAATGTCTTGATTCTATTAAAATGGGCTGTTATAACTTTGACAACCTGATGTTTTTATATTGAGGGTAATGTCGTGCATCTTTTTCTTTTTGATCATTTTCATTCTTTGTTCTATAGAAGTCTGAAAGATCTCTTTCTGGTACTGCAACTAGCCCAAGTGCAGCAGCAACTTCATAGTTTTGTAAGAGTCGAGATGCTTCCATCTATGTGATGTCCCTATGACAGCGGATGGTCAATTATTCATATTGTTGATCACTTCAATATGAAGGTTAGATGCACCATTAAACATTATATACTAAAGTTACTTTGATGTTTAGAACTTGATTAATGACACGACTCCTATTTCCAAGTCTGGAGTGTGGCAGATGTGCTTCAGCCGCTTTATGAATCACCAAACATTATAGCACACAAAATAATTGTTGCAGTAAGTATAACTCTTTAATATAATAATATCCTATGTAGTTGAGAATAAAACAACCTTGCAAACTGGTTTTCTAGAACCCTAATCACCAGATTATGATTGAAATCATGTTGCTAAAACTGCATACACAACAAATATGAGGTACACAAAGCCAGAAATTCGTCAGTCGCAGCTTGTTTTGGAGATTATCCATGGAGTTTCTCAATGTCTTGACTTTTGCTTTCAAATCATTCAGACCGTATATTGTTTTGGAGATTATCCATAGAGTTTCTCAGAGTCTTGACTTCTACTTTCAGATAACACTGTCTGAGGAAAAGTTAATCATGCTGCTGAAATAAATAAATTATTATCGAAATTATGAGAATTCAAGAAATACTTGTGAAAAAACATAGACATGAATCTCATTGTCGTTTTCTTGATCCATTTATGAATTATGCTACAAAAAAATTGAACTCCACCGACCATAGGTTTAGCGACATGTTAGGAGTTTGAGGAGTTGATATGGTGCGATATGAAGTATAGATCGCACAAACTAATAAACAAGAATAAGATTTAAAAGAAAAGGCAAACAAGAAGATGAAATTGGCAGAGGAGCCGAATATCTTATTAATAACAACCAATAGAGAGAAAATACAACTTCTGTTTTTTCTACTGCAATCAAAAACTAAATGAAGGGTCTACTATTTATAGAAAACATATCCAAACTCTAGAATTAATCTAAAATATGGAAACTAGGCTAAAAATCGCATAAAACCGAAAAAGTAGGAAAAAAATCCGCAGCTCATCGCTCAAGCGATAAGCGAGCGACAGCGGGCAACGAATTCCCTGTTCCAATTTTGCTCCTATCACTCAAGCTATAAGCGAGCATCCTTCCAACACCGTCAATCCACCTTTTTTTCCTTCTTGGACCCCATTTTGTCATCTTCAAACCTAATACTCCAAAATGCGAAGCCCTAGACCCAATTTGGACTTGATTTAGGTCACAAAACCCAACAATCTCCACCTTGACACAAATTTCGGTGCAATGAACGAAGTTTCAAAATTTCTCCACTTGGAAAAAATAAGTCCGACTGCAACGACACAGATTGAACTCTTGAACTTGAACCAAACATCTCCAACACTCGAAAAATACTTTTCCTCTTCCGCCATATCTAAACACGGATTCAAATGAACCCAACCCCCGAGTTCCCAAAATTCACAATGAATTCAAAATTTACCAAACAAAGTCGAAGCACACCTTATAGCAAAATCACCACTAAATGCTTCAAGTGAAGGCTCATTGCTAGACTCAACACCTTCAACAACTCCAAAAGCATGTACATCCATATCAGCATCCCCATACCAATTTCCAATAGGCTTCTCCCTAGCCGTTGAATATAATGGAACCACATACTGGTGGAATAGAAGACTTACCCATATCCCCCAAACTTGACAGAGTAGTATTCTCCAAAATAGACCCAGAGCCAATTCCCAACGGCACTGTACCAAACTGTATATCCACCACTGTACCAAACTTGTACTGATGTGTTTTTATTGATTCTGCCCAATATTGCAAGATGTATAACTGAGAATTTCTCCGTCCCTTCAATACAACACGGACACCCTTCCGAACCTTCAAAACTCCACCTGCTCCAGAGAACGTGTACCCTTTCGAATCCAAGGTATTCAACGAGATGACGTTCTTCTACAAGTCTGGAACATGTCGAACCTGGCCAAGTGTTCTGACTGTTCCATCCACCAACTTCAATCTGACTCTCCCAATACCAGCTACTCGATAAGATTCATTGTTTCTCATAACGACACCTTATGTCACCGTTTCATATGATTCAAACAAATCTCGATCGATACTCATAAGAAACGCACAAGCTGTATCCAAAATCCACTACTTGTCAGGCTTGGATTCCACGTCAGAAATCGTCAAAAAATCTCCCTCACTTACAAAGTCCTCTGTGATGTCTACTTTACCTGAAGTCTCTTATTGCCTCCCACGAATTGCAGCTAAATTATCTTTACCCTACAACTTCTCATAATCCCTTTTGATGTGTCCTTTCTTCTTACAGTAAAAGCAGACCCTATTGTTGAAATCCACCATCGACTTGCCC